CCCTGTCCAGCATGAGCAGTGTGTGGCGTTGGGCAGAGTTTTATCAGTTCATCTTTTCCAGTCACGCAGCTGCAGAGCAAATCAGGCAGAAATTCTTGGTGTGGAGGCATCCCAGATGATCAGAAGGGTCTTGGGCTGAAAGCAGCACAGAGCTTTGTGTAGTGGGGTGACCTCTCCCAGGAACAAGGGGGAAGGTCCCCTGTGTCACCTTCTGACCCGCAGCTGTGTCCTACCTGCCTCCCCTGCATGTTTGGGGTGCTGGGGCTGCTCAGCCGCTGTTTGCAGCACAGAGTGTTAGCACCTGTGTGCTGTGGAGGAGATCAGGACTGGTAGTGGGGCTGTGCAAAGTGTTTACCTGGCTCCCCATGTTCCTCGACAGTGCTTTTCCCTTGAGGAGGATGACCTGAACTTAACTTCGTTAGATGCAGAAACCATCTTGGAGGCTGAAGAGATCCTGGGGACGATGCAGAACTATCTCGACTCCTCTGTGATCTCTATCATTGAGGATCTCTCTCTGAGTGAGGTGGGAGCCCACACATGCGTGCGGGATGTGGTGGTTGGACAGGCTCTGGCCGTGGCATGGGTGGGGGTGGCGGCAGTGTCCACTGTGGCCAGGTCTTGTGGCTGTGCCTCATCGCCCTCTGAGACTGCCCCTGCCCTTGCAGCAGAGCAAGGCCTGCCTGGATGCACAGAACGAACTGTCCCTGCTGACTGCCATCACAGAGATTCTGGACAGCACAGATGATGAGACCCTGTCCCCCTTTGACACCGTCATGGATGCAGAGCTGCTGACCTCACCTCGTGAGCGGGAGAGTCCTTCGGTGAGTTGCAGAGCAGAGCCAGCCTGACCCCAGAACCTGTGGGAAGATGCTCAGGCAGGACTGTGCTAGGTCATGGTATGAGGGTACCCTGAGGTTGTAGGACCCTGGGATGGTTCCTCTGACCAGTGAAGTGAGAGAAGGGCTGAGCCAGCCCTGAACACCCCCAGGACACTGGTGTGTGCCTGAGGGGCCATGCCTTTGCCTTGGGTCTTGGTGTAGCACCAGAGATGTGCCAGAGGCATTGGGAGCAGCATGTCCTGTGCTCAGCCGACTGGAGCTGTGCAGGCTGTGGGTGAAACAGGACTGAGTTTGCCCCTGGGCTCTGTGGGATGATATGCGTGACTGCTGTGGGGCCAGGGGTGACCTGTCCCCTCCAGCAGTGTAAACCTGCCACTGTCTCATCCTCTGTCCATCTCTCCAGTTTCAGAAGTTTCTCAGCTTATCTCGTCCATTGCTGGAGTGTGAGAGCCCTGCCCTGGAGCAGCCCAAGGCTCTCAGGCCTCTCAGCAGCAGCAGCATCTCTGTGGTTGGGAAGGTGAGCAGCTGGGGAAGCTGAAGGAGTGAGTGGTCTTAGGGTGGTGCTGGGGTAACTGTCCTTGCTGCTGTCCTCAGCCCCAGTCTTCTCACCTGGCACAGGGGTCCTCTCCCAGAAGCGATGCTCTTGCGGGGCACCAGTGGCAGTGGTGGCAGGGCCTGCCCCATGAGATGGGCACTGGGGATGCTCCCGTAGGGGTGCAGGTTTCCAGCTCTCTTGTATGTTACTGTGAGAGTCAAATGTGTCCCAGCTCTTTGTCTGCCCAGGGAGCCTAGCTGTAGAGTTCCAGCAGACCCACAGTTGGCTGTGCCTGGGGGAGCTCCAGTGAAAGCTCAGGAGCTGACACTTGCTGTGGTTCCCATTCCCAGACTGACACAGACCTGGCCTGGGACCACAGTGCTCACGGCCTTGAGGACCCGGTGTTGCCAAAGCAGCAAGTCTGCAGCACTTCAAGGGTCGAGAGAAAGGTGGGCTGGCACCGAGCCCGAGAGCAGCCCTTGCCGCAGCGCAGTGATGGGGAGGAAGAGGAGGAGGAGACTGGTTTAAGCCTGGAGCTACACAACAGCATGGAGGCTGTGGATTTTTGTGTGAGCGAGGCTGGGGTGACGCTGGAGGAGCGCGAAGACCCCTGCATCATCAACACGGGTGACGTGTCCCTGAGTGAGCTGGTGAAGTCCATGCACCCGTACTGCCTGCCCACCTTCACTGTGTGCCTGGACCCCGAAACTGAGCCCATGGCCAAGGAGCTTCTGAGCAGTCCTGTCTTGCTGGAAATTGTGCCTGGTGAGGGAGAGAGTGTGGAGATCCCTGTGGTCCTGCAGCCTCTGACTCCCAGCTCCCCTGACCTGGAGCCCCAGCTCCTGGGGGTGGAGGAGCGTACCGGGGAGTCAATCCCAGAGAATCAAGAGGAGCTACTGGGAGTTCCAACACACGGAAACAGAGTGGAGGAAGAGAAGGAGGAGAAACTGCCTGGGAAGGAGCCCTCTTGCACTACCCCAGAGGGCACCTCCCCACCGGAGGCAGCAGCACCCAGAGCCTGGACTCCCCACAGCAGCTCCTGGCACAGCACGGAGGCCCCAGTGGGTGGCAAACGCGAGTGCTCTGAGAAGGGACGGGGCCGTGAGAGAGCACGGAAGAGTCGGAAAAAGAAAACGTTAGAGGACCAAAGCAAGCAGGCCAGGCCTAGCAGAGACTGTGTGGCCCACCGTCTCCGCTCTGCGGGCTCCGTGCGCCACCCAGCCCCCAGCCGGCAGCGAGCAGTGTGTCCCTCTGCCCAGGTCTCTGACTTCCTGGCACAGCAACTGGAACGAGCCCGGAAGGAGGGGCAGATGGAGCTGCACACGGAGCGGGCACCGCGGCCCTGGGGCAGGCCCCGGAGCACGGCAGGGACCTCCCTGCCCAAGAAAGTACAGCAGCAGCTGCAGAAGGAACCAGCACCAGAAATGGTCGGTGTGGCCTCAGAGAAGACCAAGGCTGTGGTGCCTCTGGAGAAGACTGTACCAAGTGTGGAGGAGCAGTCAGCAGTTGCACGTCCCAGCCTAACGGACCAGGCTGAGGGCCAGGGAGAGGCACAGCTGTCTTTCAGACAGAGCAGTGGGGTCTCGGAGGTTGCCCCTCAGCTCCTGGAACAAGGTGTGGGGCCGGAGCCTCCCCAGAGCCTGCCAGCAGCAGAGTGCAGTGAGGGCCTGCCCAAGGAAGCCAAACCCAAGGCCCTGAGCCTGCGGGAATACCGCATCCGCATGCTGCATCGCCAGCCCAGCCCAAGTGGCAGCCAGGAGGGCAACAAGCAAGTAGCCAGCAAGTGGCCCAGTGTCCCTGAGCCTCCGACAGAGCTTGCGGAGATCCCTTGCCTGGTG